CTGAAACGCTCACAATTAAGGTTTTTGATGCCATGTTATTAGCAATTTGTGTACATTTTGTTAATCTTGTATTTTCTCATTGCTATGCGTTAGAAGTTTGGAGCATATTACAATATGATTTTTACATAATTCGTACTTCAATTCAGCTACAAAGCAAGTTTAATGATCAAATAAAATTGAAACTGTTCTAGACATGCCTGTCTTAAAATACCAGAGCAATACCGTAACTATGTATATATAAAGTCATAAACACTAAAAAATTCGGGGATTAAGCGGTTAACCTAATTTCAACCTCTTCGGCCGATTCCGGGAGAAACACAAATCATATTTCTAATGTTTTCTAATCAGCATCGAATCAATTTATAATTTCTAATTAGCATCGAAGGAGTTACAGCGTCTGCATCGTGGAATTAAGTACGCAAATAAAATTATTTTGAAAACATGAATTAGATTTTGGCAAGAATTAGATTTTAATTATACTTACTGGATAATAAACATATTTGAATGAGTATATTTCCATATTTTCATTTTGTTACAGATGTTCAGGAAAAAGTAAACCCCGCCCAACGTGGGGTTCAAACCCACGACCCCGAGATTTACAGTCTCGTGCTCTACCGACTGAGCTAGCCGGGCGACAGCAAAACGCGCATTTCTTCTCTTCATATTCTTATCAACCATTCGAAGATCTTGATAAAATGTAATGTACTAAGGAAGAAACCAGATGCTTCTGTAACGTTTTTGAAGAAGCAAGTCAGAAACTATTGAAATTAAGCATTACGCTATCAAATAATTGTTGAATAAATTTTAAATATAATTTCTTATTTTTCACAACTTATTCGTAAAAGTACACTAATGTTTTATTTCCTTTTAGGCCAAGTTTTTAGGAATGGTCAAACTTATTTGTTTCCTCAAAGGATGTCTATTAATCATATTCTCCGAAAATATTTCCCTTCTTGCTATTTACAGCGATTCCGTTTTTGTGCATAACAGTCACTCTTTAAGCCATCATGTCGATGATACATCATTTTGGTTGCGATGTTACTTTTTGAAAGTTAATCTGAGTCACTTATCTGATTAAGTACCTTCATTTATTTCGACACTGTTTAAAGAGAAAACGCCATTTATTATGTCATTTTGAGTTTATGTATTAATTTTGTTACTTCCCTCCTAAGAACAGACTCATTCAGTTTTTGAAACTTATTCATTTCGTCATTCACATAATCACATAATAATTTTTCGAAGTGATGAAAGATCATCCTATGCAGTTTTTAGTTACATAAGATGTTATAATGAAAAAAAGAGAGAAGTTATACAGAAGGTACTTTAAATAATGAAAGCTAGTTCGCATTCTCATATATTACTGCCTCGTCTTGGGATTCTTTAATTACGCACGCTCTAGATTGCCCTGTTTTTCGGTGGCACTGAAACTGTTATAAATCATATTCATTTACATAATATTTAATTTAATATAATAGTGTTTATGAATTCTTATTAAGGCTTAAAAGGTATCTTTTAAGAATTAGACAAATAACATTAGGTTTATGCAGTTTTCGAATTCAACTCTATTGATTTCAATGCAATCAGCGTAGGTACTCCATCTATTTCTTTTTTTATTTATGAGAGATCTGTGAAGTTGCTAAAACCTTATCTTAAATGTGTTACTAAGGCACAAAAGCGGCCGAATGCTGAACGCTGGTAGCTTGGTCAGGAGTTCGAGTCCCAGCGAACGGGCTGGCTGCGGGGATGTTTTCGTGGTTTTCCTCATGTGTAACGTCGATACAATCCAGTTTCCCTTAAAAGTCCTTCACGGACATCCCTTCCTGGCCATGTAGTGCCTAATGGCGGAGCAGATAATTAAGTAAATAAATAAAATTGCTCGTCTTTAAAATTGAGCCCACCAATGGCTAGAGCAGAAACGTAAGTTGACGCAGGTAGTTCAACCAGAGTTCCAGTCCCGACGAAAGGACGTTTTAGTGGTTTTCTGCATGTGTAATGTGGATGCGTGCCAGTTTCCCTTAGAATGTCGCCCATCAACGGCCGAGCGGTAAAGTCGCTGAACACTGGTAGTTTTGATCTGTGTTCAATTCCAGACGAACGGCTTCATGGCTGTTTTCGTAGTTTGCCCCGTGTGTAACATGTTTACAAGAGGGTTTCCTTTAAAAAGGTCCTCCACGAAAGTATTCTTTGCTTTAGGCCCTCTTGTGCTTCTCAATAAAGATTACTCTTTTTAGGCTGATAGCCCTTTTATTGCTTTGCCATAACAAAATAAACCAAATAGACCTATTTAAAACTGCTCTAATTTGCGTATTCTGATGAAGTAAATGAAAAACTGTAGAAATATAGGACATATTTTCATAAAAGAATACAATATGTATATTAAAATAAACATTAAAATTACGCAATGACATTTTTATTCCAAACGCAATTCGTTTTTCAGTTCGCTTTTATTAGCTTCTTAAAATAATATATGAGGATATCTTTAAAATATTAAACCATATTTCTGACTTGCATTTCATTCTTATATCCAGTATTTTTGATAGCTTATATTTCTATACAAATCTTAGTTATTAATGCTTATATTCATGCCTTGGTAGTAGGTAGTATAACTAAATGATGCCATGCCTAAGTCTTTTCATTCAGCAAGCAAATGATATGCGTTAAGTCTGTGTTTCTAGTGATTATTTGATAAAGTTACATTTCCCTTTTTTACTCCGTAGCTAAAACACTGCTTCTCAACTAATCTTAATTATCAGTTTTGGAACTTTTTCGCTTTCTTTCTGCTCATGCTAAATTATAATTAAATCTCACACTATCTGTGATTAAAACATTCCATTTTCCAGATCCGAAATCCCTTATCTATCGACAAAAACTCTGTTAATCACCCCATTTTTCCCGGAAACTCGTTTATTCCGTTACAGTATCTTCGTCTCTTGAAGCGACTAAAACAACTAATTTGCCGACAAATGACCTGTTTATATGAGATATTTTTTTCTGTTACTCTCGTTGACTCTGGAATCACTAATGACCAACAATTACTGTCAACTATGACTTGACCGAAGACAGTAATTTCTTTCACCGGCCCTTTAGATTCATCGGGGAATTGAGTTTTTGTGTCGGACGGCATTGTTATAGGCTTGGTACAGCATCCGGAAATTTCTGTGAAATAGAAATACGGACATTTCTTTTATTTGATAAATCTGGCAGAAAAGCGTCTTTCTAAGGCAAAACTAACGTATAACAATTCCAAAATTAACGTAACGAAAAATATATGCTTAAATCTTGTTTGAATTCTATTTACATCGTAAAGTTCCCATAAATGTGATTCAGCAGGAAAACGGAAAGCTAAAAAGACAATAAAAGTAATTAACATAAAACAACGAATGAATGAAACTAAATGTGTACTGTACATATGTGTACATATGTGTACTGTAAGTTATGTGTAAGGTATTTCTTCCATGTTCTTATCATACCTTTATAAGTAGTGGTCAGCACGATGGACGCGTATTCCAAAGGTCCGTGGTTCGAATCCCGGCGAGGGCGTTGCTCAGTTTTCATCTCTTCGGTTTCAAAAAATACCTAATGTCCCTACAGTGGCGCCCGAACTACAAAGCGGTGAATGATGACGCTTTACCACCAGGATTTGGCGATTGGGTCTCCTAAAAACCACACTCCCCATTTTAAAGGGGGAGTATATAAGGTATTTCTCCCACCTGCTTAGCATGCCTTCGTAGTGTAGTGGTCAGCACGCTGGGCGCGTATTCCAGAGGTCCGTGGTTCGGTTCCTGAAGAGGGCGGTGCTCATTTTCCATCTCTCCTGCTTCCAATTAACCTCATGTCTCTACAACATTTAAACTATTATTAAAATCAATAAGAAAATTCTGAACGTCATATAAGACGAAAAACGGCTACAAAAGATATACAAAAATTCCAAACTTATGAAACTACCGTAATCATAATGTTATATCTTTAATCTATGTGCATAAAGAAGAATGTCAGTTTTTTGTTTGTTTATATAAGTGTAGTCCATACAGCTCTACAGTTTTATTCCGATTTTGATGAAATTTTGCCCACATTAGCTTTTAAATAAGAGGTAGGACACTATCTATATAAGACTGTGAAAGACCACAACACGGGCCCTGTACTCGGGGTATTTATCTTAGAATGCTGCGTTCACAACATCCAACATGTTAATAATTCATCTTAGGTTTACATAGCCGCTGTTGCGTTCCCGATATCAGTGGAAATTATGCGTGCTTCATATACAGACCTACAGTTCTAAGCTAAGCAAGGAATTTATAGCCGTTTTTTTTTACAAAAATAAGTATTAATATTTGCAAGCAGCTTAAACTTTGAAATCACATCACTCATCTTAGTTTTACATCGCCATTTTTACGTCCCCGCTTTCAGGGTGCCGGCTTCGTTTTTCCTTTAGAATAGTGTGAAACTTTTCGGAATAATGCAGAACTGTTAAAGGAAAATTTAAGTGCGGTCTGTTTTTTACTTAGCTTTTTACCCTCTGAGCGGCCAGGGTTTTCGCAAAGAAAGCACAAATTTCCCAAAACCACTATAAGAACAAGTTATTATTTTATTTTAATGTAAAAGCTCTCCTGGTATTTCTTACCTGTATTTGTGTGCTTTTGATATATTGCCTTAATTTCTTCCCACTTATTTTAATATTCACGTATATATACGTTCTTACAGATATCATAAAAAGTATTCTAGGCCGTATATATACGGACTTGCAGCTTAGCCTGGTGTTTCACATTTGTGGTTCTCGAAGAGTTGTTACTTTTATTCAGTTAAAATGTAGTTTTAAACTATTTTAGTTTTAAAGTAAATGTCATCCACATCTAATATACTCCAGTGATAGTTTATGTTATACTAGAAATGTATTAAACTATTTTTAAAGTAAATATCATCCATCATCCATATCTAATATACTCCTGTGATATATGGCTTTCCCCTTTATTTAACTATATTTTCTAAATGTGTTTCCATAGATCTCGAAATCGCATGCGACATAACGGAAAGAATAGAAGGAAGAGTATGCAGCACAACCGACCAAAACGAGCAGCCACTGCCCGTCCAGAACGATTATGGGATAGAGCTGTCATTCCTTATGACATAGAGTCCAACTTTAGTGGTAAGCCGAACTTCTTTTTTTCCAACGCTATAGTAAATCTTGCTTCTTTCAGGAAAGTATGCGCTCACTCTAAATGCACCTTGGGCCTTTCAAAGGGAATTTGATTCGCCGTAAGTGACTTATGTGACAAATCAAATCAAGAACAAATGCTAAGTCTGTATTTAATCTACGTTCTTCTCTTCTGACACATATCTACTACACAATATCTGGCAGCTTATGCATAAATCAGTACTGTATAAAGACACTGGAAATTGTTAGAGACAAAGTTCTTTACCTTTTTATTTTGGTGCAAAAAATGAACTGAAGTGTTTTTTTCTGAGGCAAGATTATGCGATAAATTAAATTAGTAAAATTCTTTTGTCTTGTGTTAATAAAACGTAGCTAACAGAAAGCTATATCATTAGATAACAGAAGCTAACAGAATAACTAGTACTTCATTGCAAATGTTAAAAAAGTATATAAGGCTATAAAGAATGTAATGGCCATTTATACATAATTTATAAAGAAAAGTTCTATCTTAAAAATAAGTTTCATTAGTGAACTGTGTAATTAATTCACTAACGAAGCTTATTTTTAAGATAAAAGTTTTCTTCAAAGTTAGTTATACCTAGTTATTAGCTAGTTAAGAACTAGCTAATAACTAGGTAAAACTAGCTTTGATAAAAACTTGCTAATATTTTAACTTCAATTTGAAAACATTTCTCAGTCTAATAGTTTTGTCTTCATCCTATTTACGAGTCCATATTACGAAGTTTTAAACGTCATAAATATAGGAACTAACAATTAGATTTCCTTACTTATGCTCTTTCCCGCCCAGACGTTATAGTTGTTAGGGGAGCCGACTGAAGGCTCGGGAAACCAAAGGGTCAGGGTTCAAATCTTGGAGAGTGCAGGGTTCAAATTCCGGAGAATGCAGGTTTCGAATCCCGGAGAGTGCAGGGTTGTAATTGCCCGCCCGTTCGTTCGTAGGAGGCAAAGATGGCAAACATGTTAGGTGCCTCTATAATAAATTGACCACTACTTCTGGCCTTAGGTGTGGCCAAGCCGAAGTCGGCTGAGGATCCGCCATTGAAGAAAAAAAAACTTACGTTATTTATCTTTATGGGACACTTTGCTGCTAAGCATACAGAGCAGTTAAAATGGCGAACAGCCATTAACGTGAGAAGGTTAACACTTGCAAGTTTTCTTATGTTTTTAAAAATATGAAAATATCCAGTTTAAAGAAATGAGCCCTTCCCATCAGCTAAGCTGTTCATTCAAAGATAGGCATGTTTTGTGTGGTTGGATACGGACGACATTATCTATTTTCAGCTCTTAAAAATGAAACATATATTCAATTCCGAAGTATTCCTCTATCAGCTCGAGCGTCCGTATCAAGCTTTGCTCATCAAACATCCAGCATTGGTTAACAGAAGAAAAAGAATTCTCCAGTAACATAATACCAAACAATATAACGATAGGACGGCCGAGCAAAAAATGCAGGAACCAAAATAGGAAATGCTTCCTCACTAACCATTTTCAGCGTATATCATCCTATTAGACTACCACCTATTTCAACAAATATTTCCTAGAGGTTAAAATATTTAAAAAACGGAATAATGTCCTTCAAAAATTTTCTCAAATTTTCAATTTGAAACCAAAGTACTTCTACAAAGGTAGAAATATGAGGCTGCCAGAAAGAGAGGAGATGTTAGTAGTAAAAAATAGTAGTAGATAGTTAGTTATACAGTTTACTAACGAAGCTTATTTTTAAGATAAAAATCTTCTTTACAATTTAGGTATAAATGGTCATTACATTTTATATAGCTTCATATTTTTTTAGCAATTGCAATAAAAGTAAACAAACAATTTAAGTTTATTTACAGAATATTTTTGAAACTATGCATTGTAAAGGTTTTGAACTGTTCATTATTTTTTTACAAATAATATATTATAGTAATAAAACGCATTCTTTTAAGTTGCGAAGCAAATAATATTTTAAATATGCGATCTTTATTTAGTTTTGGGTATGCATCAGAGTGTAATGAAGCTGATGTACAGTGTAAATTTTCAGAAGCATAAAGTAAAAAAAGGGGTGAAAAAAATTGAGAATCTAAACCCTCGGTGCCTTTTTTAATTAAAAAAAAATATAACTGATAAAACATTTAATAAAACAGATATTATGTACATAGGAACAACAATGGAATGAAGTATATTTTTCCCTCATATTTAAAAAAAAAAGATCACACTACAATTTATTACAAAGAAAAAACGTAATTTATAAATAATATTTTTAATCACAGACACCAATTTGTTTTATTTTAAACCTGACTTTTTTTATTTCACCAAGGAAAAAGAGTTCTTGTTTTAAAATCCTGAAACGTAACATAAATATTTCAATTACTTTTGTTATCATTCAGAATGCATTTTGAAGAATATAAGATTTAAAACGAAATTTTTTGAAAGTTATGATCATTTTCTAATAACATATCAATGATTGAAATTTGTTAGTAATTTTGGTAGCTGTTTCTAAAATCAAAATATATATATTGCCAAGATATTTGATACCATGTCTAGACGCTTTTAATATGTAGACGCTGCTGATAATTGTCTTAGAATTATCATATGAGTTAAAGTCTGTATGTTCTGCCAAGTTAAGAAAATGAATAGTGTATTCAGTGTTGTTAAATTTGCTTTTCCTATTAACAGAAGATTAGGATTATTTAGATTATGGTAAAATACACCAGAGGATGTACCTTCGTGAGAGACGTTTTAAAGAAAATTAATTGTATTAGTCTTTTGCATAGGAAGTACTATGAAAATAATAGACAATTAAGACTCCCATGCAGTAATCTCGTTCTCTTTAATTTAAATCTGGATTTTATCACTAGCGTTAAGGGGTTTTGCCACTTGGCCTCTGGTGGCCCTTCATTCAAAAGGAACAAAAAAGGGGAAATGAAAGTAAAAAATACAATTCTCTAACTTTCTAGAAAATACGCTATATCGAAAAAGGAAAAATAAAACTTTAACTTCATAATCTACATAACTCATAATCTACATACTTTTAACTTCAGAAAGTGAGTACGAGAGCAGTTTATCTCATGTATTAAAGCAGTGTTTCCCAGCATGGGCGTACCTTCCCTCTGCGAATGCTGTGGAGGTCTATGAGGCATTAGTAATCCAAGGGACAGTAAGGCGCATTATGAATCGAAATACTCTAGAAAATTTTTATTGCTGTAATCGGTATAGCGGATAGAAATATGACTGTCGTATAGATGGGCTCTGGCTCAAATCCCGAAAAAGGATTGGATATTTTTAAATGCAAATTGTCTTTGTTACATGGGGCACTTAAAATATACGGTGCCCCGAAAGTCTTCTGGAGTGGTTTGGTGCTAAGAGAAGAGCGCAGGGAGATAATTGGATATGTTTCCTACGGATTATTCTTTATAATTGGGACAAAAAATCGTATTGTTCAACTTTAAGGTGCTCAAAACTCAAGCCAGCGGCAAACGCTATACTGCGCTCTTCGCCGCGATAAATTCGTGGACTTGTTCTGATACTCTCAGACAAGTGAGGTAAGCCACACGAGGCCTCTAATAATTATTTCTTTTTTTTTCTGAAGAGGATGTCTTTTAACACATCAAAAGTATGCACATATTTTTATCTATTTTGCAGTTTGTGCAATTAAACGTCATCTGCAGAAAGTTAAATCCATTTTTAGATTTATAAATATGTGTTGTGCTTCAATGCTGTAAGCATGAAAAATAAAAAAAAAAAAAAAAAGTCAGTATCGTGATGCATACAATATTCAGCGATAAAAATACCTTTTATCGATAACAAAAGTCCTTGGAATGTCCATGAGTACTACCAACTGGTTGTATAATAAATTAAGTGTATTATATCAAATAAATGCTTTTTTAAAAATAACAATTTAAACTATTAAGAAAAGGCTTATTGGTTTTAAAGCGACGAATTTGTTAAATAGTTAAAAATGATTAAAAGGTAATTTTAAAATATCATGCTTTGCAAAATGATAAATCTCTAAAAATTTGTGAGACCCATGGAAGATAAATTGTAGATTATTAAAGTAACGGCAACACTTGTCAGTCCACATGGATGATAAACGCATACTAGCATAGAGCAATGTAACGTAACGGTCAAAAATGTTTGAAAAATCTTCGCAAAAACGTTTAAAATAATTTTTAATAACAAAATGTTTACGCTACCTGTATGTATAACTTTTATATATATTACGCTACGAATATATATATATATACTATAAATGTATTACGTTACCAGCGTACGATCTATAGTCTATCTTCCTTGGGTGACGTGGCAGAGAACGAACTTATAGAGTGTTACCGTTCGATATGATATAAAATATTTAATGCTTTCAAATTGTAACTGTTGAACACTTTGAGCGAGTTAAAGAACGCTTTCAATAATACCTCAAAACTATAGGTTTTTTAAATGTATGTGATTGATATAATTTAAAATACACTTAATTTATGTAATATTTAGCTGAGACTTGATATTTTCATTGTTTATATTAATAAATAAATTATGTTTTCTAATGGCATATACTACTTACCTCGATTACAGGATCGCTGATTTTTATTTTAAGTAAAAGGAATTTATTAAAAGTAAAAGTAAAAGGATTTTTATTTTAAGTAAAGGAAAGTAAAAGGAAGTTTTAGCGCTTGAAATATACTGTAATGCTTTCAGCAACCTTCATAGCTGAGCAATTTGTATGTACTTTCCTGATCCATTAAGCTGGTGAGTTCAGTTTTAGGGTAGTTTTTTGTATGTGTTCTTATTCGAAGATTCAGGGAACCATGCCTTTGCTGGGAGCTAGAAAAGAAGGTTTAATTGGAAGATCTGCTTCAGCAATTAATTCGTGGAGGTGAGAGAGCTTTTCATTTATGTATTCCTCCATCTATCCCATTATGTATTTCAACTCTTAACCTTAAAACTTTGGTCAGTTCATGTACATAATGTTGAAATCTCGCATACTCCTTTTCCTGCAGCTATATGGCCATGACTGGAACTTTTGTGAACTTTATCAGCTTTCAAAACATTCCCTAAAAAGGGGGTGCATTCACCAGCTGAAGTTTTAAATATGTTCTAGTCGTCAAATATAGAACAGCATGTCGTCTCTAAAACTTCCCATAACTTCAGAACAAATTTAAGAGCATGGATCTGAAGTAGAAATGTTTTCTTCTTAGTAGACTTGTCCGTAGAGCGATGTTAAGAACTTTGCACGTACGATATATCCTTCATTATGAATACCCATTCCCTGTTTACGAATGTTACGTTTCAGAATTATCTCTGCCCCGAAGAAACGGTGAACCGTTTCTTCGGAGTAGGTGCCTCTTTCGCCTAAAAATTCCCCACACCTTTATCCTTCTGAAATAGCTTACCAGAAAAAGCACCGTATAACTAGTAATTTGCCAATGAAAGAATATTACTTTCAAGAACTGTTAGTGTATGCAATCTAAGTGCAGCGTAATAAACATGCAAGTAAAACTGTCGCATTGCCACCTACTTCTTTTCGTGTGATTCGTTGCAATCGGTCTACGATACCATTTAAAATATATTTTTGTTATTTGTTAAGTGCTACATTTCCTTTTGAAAAGACGTCTATGCATTTATTTATAGTTTGCTTCAGAATAACATAAAATTTAACATAACGTAACAGATAAATGAAACAGCAGAGAGAATCAGTAGGAGAGTTCGATATTCTTTTAGTAGAGGAAAACACCCGTTTAGAACGCATGACGTTGCAGTCTCGTTTTCAGAGGAATCCTTCTTAACGAAATGTACCATGACAAAGGTTTCTGTGATTTGCTCGGGAGGAATTTCTTTCCACAGTTTCTTCACTTTTATGCTTCTCTGTGGATATTTGCTTGGACAGGGAGTGGTGAGTATTCGTAACACTCCCCAGCTACTCGTTAACTTTTTCATAGGTTGAAATCTCAGACGCACTTTCTCCTAAAATTAAGTAAAGAAGCTTCTTTGTAAATATTTATCTTTACTGAAATTTACGTGGATTAAAAGAGAATAATATCATATAATATCATAATCCTTGAATAATGGCAATGTTACATGTATATACAGAAATCTGTGGAGCCTGTGAGAAATCTGTACCAGATGCTTTTTAAGTGTGTAGAGTTTTTCGTACCACTAACGTAAGGCTAAGCTTGTAATCTGCATAATTTTAAAAATTAATTTCTCCTAGCATGTATGTTACCGCATATTCTTTTTTCAGACATAATTTTTGCTCGGTTATTAAATATCATTTTAAATTGGTCTTTTCTTGGAATAGGCATTGAGAAGATCTTTCGGTGCATGTATATAAATACCTGTTGTTTCTACTAAACCCTTTTGAAAGTTTCTACTAACCCTTATGAATACTTCATGGATTTCTGGTGGCTAAAAGGCGAAATGCAGTTCTTGGTATTGACCAAAACCTTAATTACCTTATAGGCGACCGATAGTTTGTTCAACACTGTCCCAAGTTTGATGGAGCACATCCGGGGGAATAGATATAAGTGCCACTTATGTCCTTTTATCGATAACCAACCTCTCAAGGGTACTTTCGTCTCGTTTTAAGTGTATTTTGTCGCTAAAAGGCTATACAGACATAGGTCAAATCTAAGAATTCGTCGCTGCCAACAAGGTAGCCCCTATTGTTTACCAGACCTTTAAACACCTTACATTTGTTAGAGAGTTTGTCTAACACCGTCCGAGTGAAGAAAACAGCCAAACAGATCCCTAGGTCACTTGCTCTTCCTCTGGGAATAGATCCATGGGTCACTTATTTCTCTTCACCAGTCCACAATGTCAACTTTTGAGATTTTCAGGCACGAGAGAATTTTTAAATCCATGGCTTGATCGATTTTGAATTTTAAGTTCCCTCATTCCATAAATACACTCTACAGACACAGATCAGATCCAGAATTCATAGTGATCTAGAGAAAGAGGATTGTCCTCTTGATCAGAGGCAAAAGTCTAGGACTCATTTTATTTTACGAAGAGTTGTCCAGCACATGGAGAATAACCTCGAGAAACAAATCCAAGGATCCGTTACTCCTACCTACCAGATACTAATTTCTCGAGGAGAATTTTCTATCCATGTTATTTTGAGTATTCGTATGGCGCAAAAACACTATACAGATCAGATCCACGAATTCAGGGCGCCTAACTACAAACATCCGTATCTCTTTTGAGATTTGAACCGGGGCTCAATGATATGGCATACAGCGCCGCTGCCATATCTTTGAGCAAAGGTGAAAGACAAGGAAATATACAATGAAAAAGCACCTAATTTTTTCAAGTATGTGGTGTTACATATAAAATGCTTACAGAGCTGAAATTGATTTAACGATCTTTCTTCCGTATTTCAAGTGCAGTAATATTTTACAAAGAAAATCTTTTTATAATCGATCTAAATATTGAAACTACATATTAATTCCTGCACTAAACCAAATCTTTGTTAATGCAACTTCTGGAATAAGGGATGTGATTAAATAAAATTGCTTCCACGTTGTTAATATTCAGCACTAAATAAGAAAAACTATTTATTTAGTTTTTATGACCAAAGTAGATGTTTTAATTTTTTCCCTTAAAGTCTTTAATATTCCAAACCATTGATTATTAAACACAATATTCTAACCGTTAAACGAGGATAAATAATTGTGTATTCTATAAATCCTAGCAATTTCAGCTTAAATTTCTAGCTGAAGAAAAGCTTTCCAAAATCCATCTGCAAGGAACTATGAAAGAAATATTTTCAGTAGCAGAGTAATAAACTAAATTTTATGCCTTTCTGAAGGCGTTAGAAACTGAAAGAAAGAATATATTACTCAACGCGAAAATGCACTTAAATCGGAACAATATTTAAAAGACTGGGGACTCTACTTTGCTCGGTTTACTTCTTCGATCCATTTTTTTATATTTCTAATTCTCTTTCCAATGCATAGCATTTCGGAACGAAATAAAGTCTTCGTATGAAAAGACGGTGTTTTAGTCATGCCGATATCAATATCTAACGAAAAATTTCTTTTATAGGGAAAGCAGAAAGAACATTTTGAGTACGTAAAAGGTAAAACGGAAAAAGCAATTAAATGAAAACAGGTCCTTTATTTTTTAAATCAAAGGCGTAATACTCTTTTTTGGCTGTCGTGATATCGAAGATGTTTCGATGTAGTAAAAGTGTCCACAGCCAAAAATGTAGCGGAGAAAGATCATTACTTCTCATTACTTCTTTCTTCCATTAACTTTTAAAGCTGGGACAGACATCTTTTTCGTTGCTTGAAGACGTTACTTATAACTTCATTTTTGATAACTTTCCCAACTTTGATTTTGAATTATTTGGTTTCGGAGCGAGGAAGCACTTATTATCCTCCTCTATTGCACTTCTTTTTCTTCTTCTTTATTTACATAAGATACTGTCAGAGTTGAAAAGAGAACGAGAGTTACTCAAAATCTAGAATATATGCAAAATAGTGTAGTATATAATATAAGAATTCATAGACATTTAGAATTTACAGAGCCAGAGAATATATATATATATATATATATAATCAATTGTGCCAGAGCTAAATTCGAACCACGGATCTTCGAGTTGTCAGCTGTATGTGCTAAACACTGATACATCAGAGCCCGCTTGGAGGAACGCGGAAATTTCTTATATTTTTCCCCAGTTAAACGCCAGTTGGGAAGAGGCACAAGAACCAGTTGATTACATCCAGGGGATGATGAGTTTTCTTTTACGATATTTTAGATGCGGTGCCGCTGTCGGGGATTGGATTCATGGATCTTACATATGCTAACTAAAGACATTAACCACTTACACACGACAGTAGGCATGGTCTTTACATCATGGTTCACTTAAAACGCGGATGGGAAGAGGCGCGAGATTCAGTTTTTTAAGTTATTAGGTATTTTGAAGCAGGAGACGTGAATAACGTGCAGTGCTCTCTGTGGGACTCAAACATTGGAACTTCCGGTTACAAACCGGACATACTTTCCAGTTACTACCCGAATGCATGTGGTAAGCAGAGAGAAAGTACCTTATTATTATTAGAATATCATAAATTGATTAAATTTGTGCAGTGAGGAATTATCATCTGCAGAGTTTGGCTTGCCTTTTGGCATAAACTTGTTGCAAACTCCTAATAAACGTAAAGCGAATTATCGTTGTGGCTGAAATTCACTACAAAGTCTTGGTGAGATTTGAAATTAACCTTCTTATTTAAACACAAACTTGAATACAAGTGCACATTTTTGTGTTAACAGAATCAACGCAGCTTGTTGCGATGGAACTAAAGTAACAGTCGGATTCAAGTTGGAAATATAGACTCAACGACAAAGACTACATAGTTAAATTTTAATCTAAGCTGTCTCAAAATCTCTAACCGGCGTAACGATTCATATATCTGCAGCAATAACGCAAAGCCGAATAATAGCAAACTTATCACAGATGGCAGGGATTACGTCACGTGGCCTCGGAGGGTAGAAACACGCTTTGTCTTACATTCCAGAAACCTCAGCTTAAATACTCACTAAGTCAATTCATATTCTGGAGAGAAAACGGAAAGCAGAAGATGTAGTAAAGCCTGAAATTATAAATAACTGATGGATTTAAATAATAAATCTTACATATCCATCCAATTTTTACTACGATAGCCATTGTAGATACCACTATACATTTGAAGAGGAAAAATAGAAAATGATCTGCGCCTTCGCATGGATTCAAACCATGGATTTTTCTCTTGTTAGCTGGACCTAGTAACACCATGAAGAGCACGTATAGTGGAATGTGATAATTCTTTTAAAAATGACAAGGAAAATCTTAAATCAGAGAGTCAGACGTAGGAGGAATATTTATGAAATACTTTACAGTGCGATTCGGCCTAATCTTAATTGAATTGTAATATAGAGCATGCTTTTGAGGGTATTCTTTGGTTTAAAGTTATTACTGTATGTTACTGCTATGGTAGTTTAAAGTTACTGCTGTATGTTATTGCTATTGTATGGTTTAAATTTATTACTGTATGTTGTTGCTATTGTATGGTTTAAAGTAATTACTGTATGTTATTGCTATTGTATGGTTTTAAAGTTATTATTGTACGTTGTTTCAATTGTATGGTTTAGTATTAGTATAGACTTATTAAGCAGAGAACATCTAACTAAAAGTATAGATTAATGTATTTATAATCGTGTAAGCTGTAATGACTTATTAATACTGATTATTGTATAACTAGTAGATAGGAAAACAAACAGTTTGAATTAAAGAGCGACGCAGGTAGTTATTGTAGTCATAAAGCTTTGATGTGCTGAACACTGAAGAATCGTTTTATGCTGAACATTTCTTATCAAAATATAAATAAAATTAAATAAACATCCCCTAAAAATGTCGCAATAATACGCAGTTTTCGACGAAATATCGTGCATTACCTTCAGCAAAAACTACAAAAACTGTTAGAAAAAGTTTACCTGACTGGGAGGAATGAGTAAGAAATGAATGTAGGGGGTTTTCTGTCGAAATTAAACTGGTAGCTTCGATACGAAGTTTGCTAAACAAACGAATGATATAATGCAAACTTTGACATCTTAGAGCAATAATCTCAAACCAATGGTCCGTATGCAGCCTCCGAAGCAATTTCATGCGGTCCGCGAATATATTTCAATAATGTCAATTCAGTGTACCATTCTTCGAACGGCAGAGGAAAAATCTTCGAATAACTTCAAAAGCTAAGAGCCATTGCACAGGTAACTTTCATATTTCTTCATAAAGAAAATGATGCGCATTATACGGCGAATAAACTTAAAAATTTTTTAGTTTAATCTGGTATTATAGGTCCTCTTTATGCGCCGGAATATACGGTACATTTCTCGCATTGTGAAAAAAACAACGGTAACCAGAGATATCAAATTCTGAATAACGTAGTCCTCCACCCGAACGAGGGCACCCAGAAGCCCGAATC